ATATAGTAATTCACCCCCCATATAGTAATTCACCCCCCATATAGTAATTCACCCCCCTATAATTCATCCCCCATATAGTAATTCATCCCCCCTATAGTAATTCATCCCCCCTATAGTAAATTCATTCCCCATATTGTGTGAATTCACTTACCTTTGCTCCGCGCGTTCCTCTCGCTGGGTTCCCGCGCCGTTCTGGTCTTCAGGGCGGACTGTGAGAGGAGAGGAGTTCGTCACGCTGCCCCGCCTACATCCGGGCTGCCCCGCCTACATCCTGACAGCCAATGTTTGCCAGCGGGCGCCCGGCACACAGAAGATCTGCATTAAAAGAGCCGCGGCTTGCCGACCCTATTGCCTGTCACCTGGTGGGCAGTGTGCTCCGGAGCCGCAGGAAAGGTGAAAAAGAGCCGCATGCGGCTCCGGAGCCGCGGGTTGCCGACACCCGCCCTAGCCTATGATTGGATTGTGGAGAAACACCAACAGATGAAGTTGACTCTCTGCTCCCTACGCATGTCAGCATGTCTCTTGTTGGCTCCCTTTTTCTCCCTGAGTGCTGCTTTACAGGGAATTACAAAAAGGCCCAAATCAAGTCAAATTCACATGTTTATGTACTTGTTGCGAACATACAGAAGTTCATTATTATTTTTTAATATCTGCCCTTGCTGACCTTCTGGAAATGCTAGTGATTTGGCTATATTTGGTTTTAATATTCTATGTCTTCAGCGGGGGGGAAACGTCTGCAACAGGTGAAGCCCGAAAAACGAATATGCGTTCTCAATGGCTGCAAGAATGCAGACAGAGAGAAAGAAATGATTGCTTTTACATCCTATATGGGTGTAAAAGCAATCACTGTAAAAAAAATAAATAAATAAATCTTCATCACCCCCCACAAGTAGTACAGTGTCACCATGGTGACACTGTACTGCTAGGGTGACAGTATGTAAAAAAAAAAACATAAATAATATAAAAAATAAAATAAAAATGTTTAAAAATTATAATTTTTGGTTATAAACTAATTTGGCTTATTATATTTTTTTTTTTTTTTTTTTTTTACTAAAACGATAACTGAATACATTCCGGCCAAGATTTATGATGAAAGATTATTTATTTGGAAAATTTTATAAGAAAACACTTTTTTCAAAATTTTTGGACTTTTTCATTTACATAGCAAAAAAAAATAAAAATCCCAGCGGTGAATAAATACCACCAAAATAAAGCTTTATCTGTCTCAAAAAAATGGTAAAAAAGTCATATGGGTACAGTGTTGCATGACCGTGCAATTGTCATTCAAAATGTGATAGCGCTGAAAGCTGAAAATTGCCCTGGACAGGAAGGGGGGTAAAAGTGTCCGGACAGGAAGTGGTTAAAGTTGAAGTCCAGTCAAATCCTAACTACTTAAATCTGCTCCCACCCCAGTCTAAGCTTATTCTAACTACCCTCTAAAGGAGAGGTGTCTATACTTACCTTTGCTATGGGCGCTCCAGTCACATAATCGGTGATCATGGATGCCCCATAGTACGTCATGATGTCACCTCTCACTGAAGCCGGCTGCTGGAGAGATTGTGACCGGACTGGAGTGCCCTCAAAATAGGCAAGCATAGACATCTTTCCTTTTACAGGGTAGTTAGAATAGGCATAGAATTGGGGTGGGATCAGGTTTACATAGTTAGAATTTGACCAGACTTCTACTTTAATGACTGCACAATGCATACCTAGTCAGCTTGCACTAACTGCTTTGCTCGTTAGAAGCTAGTATAAAAAAAAAAAAAACTTCTGACATCAGAGGAAGCTGGAAAAGAGCAGGATCATAAAGTGAGCAGTGGAGGACTGTAAAGTTCCCCAATTAAAACTTAAGGGCTTGCCAGCCATTTATGTAGTTCCTATTTACCCTTTCATCTCATTTTGCTAATTTTGCAGTTTCCAAAAGCAATTGAATAGATCAAAGTGCAAAATTGTTTGGGAGCATTATTTTCATTTCAGATGGTAAAATACATCGATGGTAAAAGAAAATAGATATTGACTTGCATATGTATAGTTTAAGTGAACCTTTTGACAACAAAAATATTTAAGCTGCCTTTGCTAACTTGCTTTTAAAGTGATGTCTGAAAAAGACTAAACTTCTGTTCTGTATGGTTGGTATTGATTTGATTTTTTTGGGTAGCAAACCTGTGTTGACAGGCTCAGGGCTTGTGGTATTGGCATTACTTTCACATCCGTTTGAGACACTTTGGAGACTATTCAGAATTCATTAACAGACGATTTTGACTTGCCTTTGCATTTTCATTGATTTATATGGTAGTGCAAAACCTGCTTGAAGCATGCAAAATCTTTTTGAAACAGGCATTACCAGAGTCTTGGATAGCCATAAAAGTCCAAAGGGTAAGACTTGTATTCTACCTGTTGTTTAACTTTAATATCAGGGCACATTGCCAAAAGGGTATTGCTTCAAATTCTTGCAAGTGAAAGAAAAAAAATTCTGCCCATGGAGACCAATCAGATACTTCACCTTTGTCCAACCTTCACAATAAGTGTGTGTGTGTGTGTGAATATATATATATATATATGCTGTGTAAAAGGTTTAGGCAGGTGTGCGGAAATGCTGTAAAGTAAGAATGGTTTCAAAAATATATATTTATTTTTATCAAAATGCAAAGTGTGCTAACAAGAAAAATCTAAATCAAATCAATATTTGGTGTGACTACCCTTTGGCTTCAAAGCAGCATCAAGTCTTACACTTGCACAAAGTGAGGGATTTTGTAGAATTGAAGTCAGGTTTATGATTAATCAATTATACCAGGTAGGTGCTATTGATCATTAATTTCATATGTATGTTGAAGCAAACAGCTGTGTAGGAGGCTTAAAAATGGGCGAGGAACAGCCAAACTCGGTTACTAAGGTTAGGTTGTGGAAGACAATTTTATATCAAAGGACATAAACCATGGCAAGACTGAGCACAGAGTTGGTTATATTGAGACACAAGTTAGTTAATTTGCATCAGCAAGGTCTTAGGCAAATATTTCAAAGCAGACTGGGGTTTCATGATGCTCTTTTGAAGAAGCACAAAGAAACGGGCAAGGTTCAGCACTATAGACACAGTGGCCAGCCATGGAAACTTAATGCAGTAAATGAAAAACAAATCATGCTTACTTCCCTTTGCCATCAGAAGATGTCCTGCAGGGCCATCATCACAGAACTGGCGGAAATCAGTGGGACCCAGGTACACCCATCTAATGTCCAGAGAATTCTGGCCAGAAATGATCTTCATGGAAGAATTGTTGCCAAAAACCATACCTTCAACGTGGAAACGTGGTTAAGAGACTCTACTATGCACAAAAACATAGGAACTGGGGTGCAGAAAAATGGCAGCAGGTGCTCTTGGCGAAGTTTAAAATTTGAAAAACGTTTGGGGCTGCATTTCTCTAGTTTGGAATTGATGTACACTGCTCACAAAAATTAAAGGAACACTTTGAAAACACATCAGATCTCAATGGGGAAAAAATATCACACTTGATATCTATACTGATATGGACTGGGAAATGTGTTAGGAACATAAGGATGCCCCATCGTTTGATGGAAATGAAAATTATCAAACTACAGAGGACTGAATTCAAAGACACCCAGAAAATCAAAGTGAAAAAAATTATGCAATCAAGCTCTATGGTGCCAGACAGTGAGCACAGGGCCCACTAGAGGACATTCAAACCAGTGGCCTGCTGGAGGTCATTTTGTAGGGCTCTAGCAGTGCTCATCCTGTTCCTCTTTACACAAAGGAGCAGATACCGGTCCTGCTGGTGGGTTAAGGACCTTCTGCGGTCCTGTCCCACTCTCCTAGGGTAACTGCCTGTCTTCTGGAATCTCCTCCATGCTCTTGAGACTGTGCTGGGAGACACAGAAAACCTTCTGGCAATGGCACGTATTTATGTGCCATCCTGGAGTAGTTGGACTACCTATGCAACTTCCTGTAGGGTCCAGGTATTGCCTCATGCTACCAGTAGTTACACTAAACCTATCCAAGTGCAAAACTAGTCAAGAACAGAAAAGAGGAGTAGGGGACAAAATATCAGTGGCCTCCAACTGTAAAACCATTTCTGTTTTCGGAGTCGTCTCATTGTTGCCTATCTAGTGCACCTGTTATTTTATGAACACCAAAGCAACTGAAACTGATTAACAACCCCCTCTGCTACTTAACTGACCAAATCAATATCCCAGGAGTTTAATTGACTTGATGCTGTACTCTAATTAGAAAGTGTTCCTTTAAATTTTTTTGAGCAGTGTATTTGGCCAAGATCAATGGTGCCCTCAATGTTGAGACATACAAGCTGATACTTATCCATTATGCCATACTATCATAGAGGAGTGTGATTGGCCCCAAATTCTGAAGTAAGATATTGACCCCAATCATACAACAAATGTCATCCAGGACTCTCTTCAGTGTAATGAAGAACAAGGAGTTTTGGAAGTGATGGTTTGTCGCCCACAGAGCCCTGATCTCCACCTCAAGTCTGTCTGGGATTACATGAAGAGACAGAAGGATTTGAGGCATCCTACATCCACAGAAGATCTGTGAGTAGCTCTCCAAAATGTTTGGCACAACCTACCTGCTGAGTTCCTTGAAAAACCATGCTCAAATGTACCTAGAAGAATTCGGGCTGTTTTGAAGGCAAAGGGGTGGTCACACCAAATACTGTTTTTTGATTTGGATTTTTCTTGTGTTCATTGATGACAATACATTTTTAACACTTCTATTTCGGAGAGCATTGCTAATTTACAGCATTTGTTTCACCCCTGCTTAAAACATTTGGACATTACTGTGTATTTTTTTTTTTTTTTTATTATATTTTGCTCAGTCTAAGATGCCTCATTTTATGCAGAGTGAGAATAAGACAACAAAAGGGCATTTGAGGCTGTGAGTGTCCCTCGTGCCTGTGTGTTCTCTTAACCGGTTTTATTTCTGCTGCCTGGATACCAAAACATGCGTCTGACACTGACATTTTTTTGTTAGAATGGCTGTACCCTGCATCATTCTCCTGGGCAGATTAATTGTGGAATCCGTAGGTGAATCGGTGAACTCTTTGGTATGTATAAAAATTTTTACTAGATTTCTTCCTTGCTTTGTCCTTCTCATTGGGCTTTCCATTCACACCCAGGATACATGCAGGAAACTAAATTATATGTGAAAGCTGGTGGAGAACAGGCAAATATATGCAGTCAAAAAAGAGAACAAAAGCGCCTCTAAGTGCAGTATGTAGAACATTTATTGAGGAGCTTTTGCTTGAGAAGGGAGCGTGCTTCCGCCTTCTTTCGGCCTCGCGCATGCTCTGAAATGCGTCGCATTGCATGCTGGACTTCCCCACGTCATCACACTGATGCAGACGTCGCGGTCCAGGGTGTACTCCGGGCGCCATCTACCGATACTCACACATGCCGGTTAGCTCCTTGAGAATATCCAGAGTCTCTCCCCCAGCGCTGACTACGGCTATCACATCAAGGACGCAGTCAGGTCCTCCATCTTTATAACTTATACCAAAGCATTCTTTTTTTCCTCCATCATGTGAGTGTTTCTTACTGTGTTCCTCAATAAATGTTCTACATACCGCACTTTGAGGCGCTTTTTTTTTTCTCTTTTTTTTTTTTTTTTTTTATATCTTTACACAGAGCCTGCTACAGCTACAAGAGTTTGACCTAGTGCTATATGGACTCATTTGTGTTTATTTTATATGTCATTGGACCTTATTGCCATCTGTCGTGTGTGTTTGTGTGTGTTTTTTTTTGTTTTTTTTAATGAGCCAATGCACACAGCTTCATTCACATCTTTAAAATCAAATAGAAATCTGCTATCATGGCCCTGTGTATGGTTTTTTTTTTTTTTTTTTTTTTTTTTAAGGAGCCTGGAAAGCATTGCACCAGCAATCAGCTGATCGTTGGTTCAATGCAGGACTCCTGAAGACAAGAGTCAGTGTAATCTGTCTGCCCATACATCGAACACCATATGGGCAGGCAGTTTCACACTGACAGGGAGAATTAATGAACTACCAGAGCACTCAACAGCGCCATGGTAGTTAATTGAGAACTACAAGCCAACATCTGCAAAGTATGTCAGTATTTGTAGTTCTGTACTTGTCAATTCATTCACAGAACTCTGTGACTTGATGATGCAGCTGTATAGTTGGATCCCCGCATAGCTGCACTCTTGTCAAAAATTGACAGCTGATATGGGAACTTCTCTTGGGTTTTTTTTGTACACGTTTAAAAATCACTATAGGCCTGAAGATTACATAAACCCCAGAAAATATTAGGGTGTCTGCTTTGAGAAAATATCTAGATAATTAAATGGTGGTAGTGCCAATTTTGTTATGTCGCATGCTATTACTAGAAAGGGCTAGGAAATGCAACATTTAGGTAAAAAACACACTGAAGTTAATTTTAGGGAACAAAAGGCAATAACCCATATTATTTTTTTTTTTTGTTAAAAAATAAGTTTGCACTGAGTAAATAGATACCCAAAATACCAAACCTTAAAATTTGCATGCTCTTGTGAAAACTTTAGTACGCTATATTTTCTATAGGCGATGCCTTTTAAAGCCCCTTATAGGTCATCTGTTTAGCGATAAGGTAGAGATCCGGTGCTAGTTTTCTCTTATTCTGGTGTGCACAGCGATATGGAACTTGTATCGCAATTAATGCTTTCAAGCATAGGCGCGTTTGTGAGAGGCCTCAAAAAAAAATTGGGGGGGGGAGGGGTGTTATGTGCTTGGGTGTAACTTTTTTCTTTACTTTTTTATATTTTTCATCACACAGAGGACAAAGCCCCCTATGTGATGATTTTTGGGTGACCACTTCTCTTTGAGACATGAGCACTTGCAAAGCATCAAAGGGATCTCAGTGTTGGAAGGTATCAGGCAGGGGAAGGTACAAAACTTTCCCAAGGCATTCGCTATAACACGGGATGCATTCATCCAAAATGGACTAATAAAAAAAAAAAAAAAATCAAGAAAACTTGTCCGGGAGGCTGCCAAGAAGCCTTCAGCAACCATTAAAGGAGCTGCAGGCATTTCGGGCAAATGATGGTTGTGTACTACATGTGACAACAACCTCCTGTATTTTTCCTATGTCTGGGCTGTGGGATAGAATGGGGGAATGGAAGCCCTTTCTTACTAAGAAAAACTTTTAAGCCCAGTACATTTTTGCAAAAACCCACACCAGGTCAAAGAACTGTCTGCAGAGCTCAGAAACCGTATTATGGCAAGGCACAGATCTGGGGAAGGCTACGAAAAAATTCTCCTGCACTGAAGGTTCCCAAGAGCACAGTGGCCTCTATAATTTTCACATTGAAGAAGTTTGGCACAACCAGGACTCTTCCAACAGCTGGTCACCCAGCCAAACTAAGCAATCAGGGAAAAGGGCCTTGGTAAGAAAGAGAGGTGACCAAGAACCTGATGGTCACTTTGATTGAGCTCCAGAAATCCTATGTGGAGGTGTGACAAGGTTCCAAAAGTACAACCATCACTGCAGCCCTCCGCTGATCTGGACTTTATGGCAGAATGGCTAGATGGAAGCCTCTCCTCCGTGCAAAACACATGAAAAATCTCTTGGAGCTTGTATAAAAACACCTGAAGGTGTCTCAGACACTGAGAAACCAGATTCTCTGGTCTGACGAAACCAAGATTGAACTGTTTGGCCTCAATTCTAAACGTTCTATTTGGTTGAAACCAGGTACTGCTCATCACCTGCCCAATACCATCCATCCAGTGAAGCATGGTGGCAGCAGCATCATGCTGTGGGGGTATTTTTCAGCAGTAGGGACTGGGAGACTGGTCAGGGTTGAGGGAAATCTGAATGGAGTAAAATACAGATATATCTTCAATGAAAACCTGTTCCAGAGCACTCAGGACCTCAGACTGGGCCGAAGGTTACCTTCCAACTTGACAATGATCCTAAGCACACAGCCAAGACAACACAAGAGTGGCTTAGGGATAACTCTGACTTGAACCCTATTGAACATCTCTGGAGAAACCTGAAAATGGCTGTCCACCAACGGTCCCCATCAAACCTGACTGAACTTTAGACGATTTACAAAGAAGAATGGCAGAAAATCTCCCAATCCAGGTGTGCAAAGCTTGTCACATCATGCCCAAAAAGACTTGAGGCTATAAATTCTGCCAAAGGTGCTTCAACAAAGTACCGAGTAAAGAGTCTGAATACATAAGTACATGTGATATTTCAGTTTTTTCCTTTTTAATAAATTCAGACATTGCCAAAATTGAACTGAAAGAGGTCTGAATACTTTATGAATGTGCTATAACCCAACAAAAGTTTAAGATCTATACCTTGCAGTTGGGCTGTGCCTGCAGTGCAAGGGTTAATAGCTTGCTTCTAGGAGAGAGGAGAAACCGTTTTGCTTACATGATCCTCCACTCCCCCATGCTGTAGTGGTAGACTGTCCCACAGCCTGTCTGGTGCAGGACCATGGAACCTGTTTTTGGCCTTGACATCAGGACCTTAGACTGCTGAATTGTGGGGGAGAAGAAGCTGCAGGGACCAGTTGGGGAAAGGAGTGGATAGGGTATGCAAATCCTTCTTTCCCTTTTTTTTTTTTTTCCTACCCTTTCTGTAGAGCAAAGCAAGCCATTGACGCTTGCAGTGCAGCCACAGCTCCACTGCAAGGGATCATTTTTTTAGTTGCCTGGAGTTGAGCTTTGAATTGTTGCTTTGCTCAAAGCTCTTGTCAGATGGATTTGTATTCTTCAATCATCATTTTATAGGCATAGACATAATTGCCAATAAGAATAATCTTCACTTGTTTGCTTTTGTCAGGTCTCGGATTGCTGTAGTGAAAGACTGGTTTTAAACGGCTCATGCCCTGCTGACCAAAGATGCAGTCCAGGTAATTGTGTTTCCATTACCAGTGCCAACAAATGTCAGCATTACTAGGCTTCTACCTAATTATAGAAATACTGACATAATTGTGTATAATGAAGGTTTGCTGCAAAAGTATGAAAGCTGTGTGACAGCAAGATCTAATTATTTCTTCACTATCCACAGCTTTGCATCTTATTAGCAGGCCAGGCTGCTAAAATAAGTGCTATGTAGATTTAATTCTCTGTACTTCTGGATTGCATTCTCTGAAGCCGTTATGTGCTATATCTGGCAGGGTTGGTGTTTCAGTGCTATGGTTATAGTGTACTATGGTCATATAGTACAGAACTTCTCTTTCTTGTGGATCTGTCACGTACCTGATTGGAGACGGAAATGACGCGGTCGGCCTCACTTGTCACTAGCCCTGACCCCACTGGAAATGGAACACTGGGTGTCTAGGAACCAGGGGGACAAGAGCGCCAACAGATGTTGTTTGCAGTTCTTGCAGCTGGAGACTTTGAAAGACTGATGATCTTCTGATTCAGGATCAGTAGTGATATGCAGAGCTGGTATGGTAGGTCGCCAGATATGCACCAGAGTAAGACAGCTAGAATGGGAGACAGGAGCAATGTCATAGGAATAGCTGGGGTCATCAACGGGTGGACAGCGAGGTACCAAATCATAAGCCAAATTCAGGAGCAGAGCCAAAGTCAGGAGCAGAGCTGAAGTCTGGAACAAGTATCAAGCAGGAGAGTAATCAGAGTCAGGTCAGGAACAAGGAAATCGCATAGGAACGAGCAGGAAGTGGGGAACAGCTGAAGACCAGTCAGCACTCAGCACAGGCAGAGGCACCTTTTAAATAGTCCGTCTGGCACCAATCTTCACCGTGCGTGTGCACGATCGCGCATTTCTGTGCGCATGTGCACGTCTATTCGCCAGCCGTCTCACGGGAATTCCCTTACTAGATCCTCCTTCCCATGTAAAACATGTTTGTAAAAAAATATTCTGTCAGTTTGCTTGAATGGGCATCCTCAGGTTAAAGTGACTCTAAAGTCTAAACATTTTTTTTTCACCTTTAATGCATTTCCTGCATTAAGGTAAAAAAAAAAAAGTACCACCATTTGTTGGGTACCCACACTTACCTGACTCCTCCCACTGATCTATCGCTGTCCCATCTGCAGCAATTTTCTCCATTCTTCCTGCTCTCACAGGACACATTGAAAGCTGCGGGAGCAATATGCCTAGTACACATGCTGAGAAAGATGAAAAAAAGACCGCTTTGGAGCAATCGTCTGATAATCTGATCATTACTACACAGCTTTCAAGAGCTGATCACGGAAATTAATTTGAAAATAACTGAAGGGACCTGAAAAATGTACAGAACAAATCATTTTTGTGTAATTATCGTATTTGTATGAAAAAAGCGACCAAGACCATGCATGCTTGGCAACAAAAGAATACATTACGATACAATACAATACAGTACTTCACTTCTGAAGTTGTCTTCTGTCTAACGAGAATTTTCGTAACTTTAGTAACCTAATAGATTTTCAATCTGAGACTAGCATGCAAAAAGGAGGATCATTTTGTCCAATATTCTTTGTTTGTTACGAGGCTATAGCCTCCTCCTGCCGTCGGTCAATTCCTGTGAGGAGGGAGCAGGGGGTGTGACTGAACTGGGCTGTGTGCGTCTATGAACGCACACAACCCAGCCCAGGAGCATGCCCACATGGGTGCCAGTTTGCTGAGGGGCTACATGAAGAGAAGTGGACAGCCCCGGTGGGGGACTCCAGAAGGGGAGGTAAGGGACAGCTCTGTGCAACTGTGCAATACTATTGCACAGAGCAAGTAAGGACAGTGCCTTGAAAAAGTATTCATACCCCTTGAAATTTTACACATTTTTGTCATGTTACAACCAAAAAATGTAAATGTATTTTATTGGGATTTTTTGTGATAGACCAACACAAAGTGGCATATAATAGTGAAGTGGAATAAATGGTTTTCAACTTTTTTTTTTTTTTTACAAATATCTGATAAGCGTGGCATGTATTTGTATTCAGCCCCCTGGGGTCAATACTTTGTAGAACCACCTTTTTCTGCAATTACAGCTGCAAGTCTTTTTGGGGATGTCTCTACCAGCTTTGCACATCTAGAGAGTGACATTTTTGCCCATTCTTCTTTGTAAACTAGCTCAAGCTCTGTCAGATTGGATGGAGAGCGTCTGTGAACAGCAATTTTCGATTCTTGCCACAGATTCTCATTTGGATTTAGGTCTGGACTTTGGGCCATTCTAACACATGAATATGCTTTGATCTAAACCATTCCATGTAGCTCTGGCTGTATGTTTTGTCCTGCTGGAAGGTGAACCTCCGGCCTAGTCTCAAGTCTTTTGCAGGCTCTAACAGGTTTTCTTCTAAGATTGCCCTGTATTTGGCTCCATCCACCTTTCCATCAACTCTGACCAGCTTCCCTGCCCCTGCTGAAGAAAATCATCCTCACAGCATGATGCTGCCACCACCATGTTTCACGATGGGGATGGTGTGTTCAGGGTGATGTGCAGTGTTAGTTTTTCACCACACATAGTGTTTTGCTTTTAGGCCATAAAGTTCAATTTTGGTCTCATCTGACCAGAGACACCTTCTTCCACGTTTGCTGTGTCCCCCACATGGCTTCTCTGAAACTGCAAACAGGACTTTTTTTGTGGCTTTCTTTCAACAATGGCTTTCTTCTTGCCACTCTTCCATAAAGGCAAGATTAGTAGAGGGCAGGACTAATAGTTGGACAGATTCTCTCACCTGAGCTGTGGATCTCTGCAGCTCCTCCAGAATTACCATGGGCTTCTTGGCTGCTTCACTGACTAATGCTCTCCTTGCCTGGCCTGTCAGTTTAGGCTTGCAGTTGTACCACACTGTTTCCATTTTCGGATGATGGATGGAACAGTGCTCCGTAAGATGTTCAAAGCTTGGGATATTTTTTTTTTATAATCTAACCCTGCTTTTAAACTTCTCCACAACTTTATCCCTGACCTGCCTGTTGTGTTCCTTGGCCTTCATGATGCTGTTTGTTCACTAAAGTTCTCCCAACAAACCTCCTGAGGGCTTCACAGAACTTCTGCGTTTTTATACTGACATTAATTACACACAGGTGGACTCTATTAATTAGGTGACTTCTGAAGGCAATTGGTTCCACTAGATTGTAGTTAGGGGTATCAGAGTAAAAGGGGCTGAATGCAAATCCACGCCACATTTTTCAGATATTTATATGTAAAAAAAATTTGAAAACCATTTATCAATTTCCTTCAGCTTCACAATTATGTGCCACTTTGTGTTGGTCTATCACATAAAACCCCAATAAAATACATTTTACGTTTTTGCTTGTAACAGCACAAAATTTGGAAAATTTGAAGGGGTATGAATTCTTTTGCAAGGCACTGTATAGCATCTTTATCTACACTTACTCAAAGCGGTAGCTGTTGTTTACTAAAGCAGATATGATGGGGTTGATTTATTAAAACTGGAGAGTGAAATCTGGTAGCTGTGAATGGTACCAATCAGCTTCTAACTTCAGCTTGTTCAATTAGGCTTTGACAAACCTGGAAGCTGATTGGTTTTTTGTAGAGCTGCACCAGATTTTGCACTCTCCAGTTATAGTAAAACAACCCCAGTGTCTTCTATTTTAAAGGTTCAGGCTGCAGGAATTTTAACTGGTATTCGCTTAACTAATAAGGGTGTCCCTGTCCTGGAGCAAGCATGCATCCAGTAAAGTTCAAGAGTGGGTTTTGTTTAGACGAGAAGAAAACCGGTCTGGGAGGCTGCCGAGAGGCCTACAGCAACGTTAAAGGAGCTGCAGGAATATCTGGCAAGTACTGTCTGTGTGGTACATGTGACAACAATCTCCCGTATTCTTCATATGTCTGGGCTATGGGGTAGAGTGGCAAGACGAAAGCCTTTTCTTATGAAGAAAAACATCCAAGCCCGGCTAAATTTTGCAAAAACACATCTGAAGTCTCCCAAAAACATGTGGGAAAATGTGTTATGGTTTGATGAAACCAAGGTTGAACTTTTTGGCCATAATTCCAAAAGATATGTTTGGCGCAAAAACAACACTGCACATCACCAAAAAGAACACCATACCCACAGTGAAGCATGGTGGTGGCAGCATCATGCTTTGGGGCCTTAGTCAAGGTAGAGGGAATTATGAACAGTTCCAAATGCCAGTCAATATTGGCACAAAACCTTCAGGCTTCTGCTAGAAAGCTGAACTTGAAGAGGAACTTCATCTTTCAGCATGACAACGACCCAAAGCATACATCCAAATCAACAAAGGAATGGCTTCACCAGAAGAAGATGAAAGTTTTTTTTTTTTTTTTTTTTTTTTTTTTTTTTTTTTTTGAATGGCCCAGCCAGAGCCCAGACCTGAATCCGATCGGAAATCTGTGGGGTGATCTGAAGAAGGCTGTGCACAGGAGATGCCCTCGCGATCTGACAGATTTGGAGTGTTTTTGCAAGGAAGAGTGGGCAAATATTGCCAAGTCAAGATGTGCCATGCTGATAGACTCATACCCAAAAAGACTGAATGCTGGAATCCAATCAAAAGATGCTTCAACAAAGTATTAGTTTAAGGGTGTGCACACTTATGCAACCATATATTATTAGTTTTTTATTTTTACTTCCCTCCACCTAAAAGATTTCAATTTGTTGTTCAACTGAGTTGTACAGTTTATAGGTTACATTAAAGATGGAAAAAGTTCTGAAATGATTTATCTTTGTCTCATTTTTTTTATATCACAGAATCCTGACATTTTTTCAGGGGTGTGTAGACTTTTTATATCCACTGTATAAAAGGTTCAAGGCAGTGTAACAACCCTTTTCAGCTTTGCAGCAGGTCATATGTGTGTCTTGGAAATTAGCACATGTTTAACACTGATGTGTTTTATTGGTTTTGGTTGTTGCTTATATAAACTGTTTAAAATCTTCAGGGCATAAACGGTTTATTGTCTTGTCAAATCTTGCCGTTTTAAAGGACAGCACATTGTTCTTAATGCAGTCCCTAGTATGCAGTGTAGATTCTACATCACTACAAAGATATGTTCCTCTCCTGTCATCTGTTCTGGTGGAGGGTTACACCCTAAATCTCTTCAGTTCACGAGAGAGGTATTAAATGACACAAATTCTGAAGGTTGAGCTGACTAAGGAATGGGGTGTATTTCTGTTTGGAATTCAGGGTGTATACAGAAGAAAAACGCCACATTCTTTTTCAAACATGAATATTTCAGTTCTTACCTTTTGTATGTGTCATTAGGTCATCTTTGTTAAAAAGCCATGTAACCGTGTGTTAAGAGGCAGCCTCGTTGATCTGAACTTCAGTAAAATTATTTTCACAAATTAAACCTTTTTTGCTTTCTGCCAAAGTACAGAGGATCTGTCCATGTTTTTTTTTTTTTTTTTTTTTTTTTATTTTAAACATATTTGTGGAAATGTTTTCCAAAATAATGTAACAATAAATTGTTCCTGGGTGCATAACAAAAATACATTGTGCTCTCCGGCAGACTTAAAGTGTAACTAAACCCCGCACCCTGCATTCAGTATATCTGGTCTCCCACAGTACAAAGAACATGGAAATGCAATTATTTTAGTAAATATAAACTGCTAAATACCTTTTTCTCACCAGCAGTTAGAGCAGTCTTGTAACTTCTATCAGTGTTCAGCAGAGCACTGGTTAAAGCTTATAGGAGGAGTTTTCTTTCTGCTCTAGAAGCATGCAAAACCCCTGACCTATGTCTGGACAGTGTTGATTGGCCCTGTGCTGATCATATGCACTCTTCCAAGATTAAAAAAAAAAACTAGCAATACACACTAAACTGAGCATGTGCAGAATGGCTACAGTTCAGTCTGTCTTATCAGGAGATAAGACGTGGACATTTGAACATGAGGACGAGTCAAACAGCATTTTTATACAATGCAGAGGATTAACCCCTTAGGTTCCACATTTGAGTATATCAAGCTTGCTTTACTGCATATACAGATTGATGTTACTGTTGTGGGGTTAGTAGCACTTTGCTGGATTCTCACTTTGTATTACACGTGCATTTTTGTAATGCACAGTTTGGTATGGGCACAGTGAAAACTGAATTTCCCTGGAAGAAGATCTCCTGAGTGGGGCTGAAGCATTGGCATGTCCTTTTTGTGCTCATGGAGATTTGATTCAAGAAGGGCTCCTCGCTTGCCACTGCAGCTCAAAGGAGATCCACACATGCTAGCACTGCACCCTCCCTCAAAGGGGTTGAGTTCAGTCCTGACAACAAGCTGATCAAGTGCCAAGATAATTTGCATGTACACCTGCTCACATTTGTACTAGTACCTGTGGGTGCGCTGGCCAGGCTTTTCCTCACAAGTCCCTAAAAATGATTCCAATTCGTAAAAGGTGTTTATAAAACTTAGGGAAAACCCAAGTGATAGGTCCTGGGGATGAGGGACACCGGTCACATTGAGCTTAAATCGATGGCTGGCACTGATTGCATGTAATCGCTCACAAAAGTGTCTCTTAACCCTTTGAGGACCGTAAGATTTTGGAACGCCAAAATCAGTTTTTTTGTTTTTAAAGTTCTTACACTTCAGTTGCTGTAACTAAGCCATTTCATGAAATAATTGGCAAAAAGTTAGATCCATTTGTTGTTTGTTGATAAGAACTAATATTTTGACTCAAACCAAAAAAAAAAAAGAGTTTTAAGTTCTTAATCAGATGATACACGCAATTAAGTACATGGGACAAATACGTCCCTTGGTCCTCAAAGGGTTAATGAGTCTGAACATGATTTTTGTTGAGGCTCGCTGATGCAGGTTGTTGCTAAGCATCCAATGTGTATGCGCCCATAGTGTACAGCCTTGAGGAAGGGGACCCAACATAAACTTTTGCACACAGGCCCACTGCATTCAGAAAATATCTATGGGCTATAATTAGGTATTTTAAAGGATAAGTTCACCTTTGGGAATATGTTACAGGTTCCACCCATTTTAAGGGTGGAACACGTAACATGTTCCCCTAGCCGCAGCCACCACCCACTGACAGATAATACGTGGAGAAGTCTCCCCATACTGTCTGTCAAATTTGAAAACCATGATGCTGTGTGCGGGGCTCCGCCCACACGGCCACATCATTCATAAATGAACATTCGTGAATGAATGAACTGCAAGTTCTGACAGCCTTAACGGCTGTGGGCTTGTAGTTTTCAGTGACCTACTATAGCACTGTAAAGCACCATGGTAGTTCATTGAAGCATCTGCTACATCCCGTACGGCAAGCAGATATTCTGACAGGTCTGCAGGAGACCTACATGTCATGCAATCTACTAATCGCTGTTGCAATGATTTCCAGGCTCCTGTAGACAAAAATAATTAATGCACTTTTTTTTACCTGCAAAAAATGTGCATTTATTTTTTTAACTTATTTAACACTGCTGGATACACTGAAGGGGCAGCTATAGAGGACAACTTCATTATCAGCAAAGCCCTCCTAAGGAATGCAAGTTTTGGGTTGGTTGTTGAGGGCAGTACAGATTGTGAGACAAATGCCTTAAAGCAGAATTAAACCTCTGCATAAAAGATATATAATAATGCCTCCCGTGAGCTTTATTCCATTTATGTACTAGTATTCTTAGTATTAGTCCATTACAAATATTTAAAGTAAAACATTTTGCTTTTCTGATGTGTTCAAAACGGACTGAAAAAGTGCCTAAATGTAATCACTACACTCTGTTTTCCACATACCAGGATGTTTTCAGATATGGACCACTGGGGGAACCTCCTGTATTAAATGTGCAAATGACTCCAGTCAGGAAGTGGCTTCTAATCTTACAGAGTGTGCAAATAGTAAGTCATTCAATTTATATATTCATGTAGTGTATTGACACTGTGATCATACAAATCAGTGCAATATGGTGTTAGCTGATCTAGAGTTGATAAGAAAATATGGTGATATTCAAATAACTTATTCTATTTTTTTTGTCCCCAATACTGTGTATACTTTATTTAAAGTGAACGTTTCCATTATTTTATATATTTAAACTAAAGCCCAAGCATAGCTAAAATAAAAACAGAAAATCAGCACAAGGGACATAACTTAGAAGAGGAATCAGAGCAAAGGACACATCCTGCTGACTATTAGTAGTAATTTTCCTCTATCCATGCCATTCAACCCCCACCACCATAATCTTCCAATGCGACGGGGTTAATGCAACTAAGGAGCTGTCACAGGCTCTCATCGAGAGACTGACTATGCCCACCCTTTCTATCTGGCTGCCCCATTCGTAGCAGCCATACTACAGCTTCTATAAATTAAAAATGATCTATGAATGAAGGGGTGGAGCTATCAATAATCATCCACTTTTCCTCCATTCTTCGATCTTTCAATTCATAGAAGTTGTAATATGACTTCTGTGGATGGAGCAGCAGGGCAGATTTGTGCTCTCTGGACGAGATCCTGTTACAGTCCCTTAAGTGAATATCTTGCTCTGTGCAATTAATACAACTAACAGAAGAGGAATCGGCACAAAGGACATATCCTACTGACTGTAAATTATGTCCCTTGTGCTAATGTTTCTGTTTGTGAATTTGGCTTTAAATAATCCTGTCTAAGGGCTCATGTACACTGCAGCTAATAAACTCACATTTAGGAGCTGTTCAGCATTTTTTTTCAGCAGCCCCTGAACTCTCCCTAATGTTTTCCTCAGTGTCCATGTACACATCTTTGTTTATAGTCATTTACAGGCATTTGAGTTTACAGTTGTTTTTTTGAATGCAGAAAACTTGCGTTCAGCAGTCAATTTTTCAGCGTTTCAAATGCGTTTCAAATGCAAAACGCTTGTAAACGCGGCAAATCGCGTTTATAAGCATTTGTGGCTGAACATTTTTTTTTAACTTCCAGTTCCCGATGCTGTCCAGAGCCTTTTTTCGGCATGAAAAATGCATGCAAAGCGTTTTCAAGGTACTCAGATGGACAAAACACTGAAAATAGGATGTTCCTACCAAGATTTTCACACATTGTAAAGACCAATTCACACCTCAGACCTCTCAGATCCTTGGAAAAAAAAAGATATGTTAATGACCATTCACACCTAAAATTCCTCATGAAGACCCCCTGCCAGGTCACCTTAATGGCTCCCTCCACCAGCTACCTTTCCCACCCTTGGAAACAAAAGAAATGTTAATGAGCAACTCGCACCTAAGCTAATCTCAACACATACTGCTGTGTCTGCTTCTACTCTCTATATTTCTCTGAAACAGTCTGAAATAGTTAATAATTTACCACTTTTCAGTGCATTCTGGGCATTTGGGAGGTTCTCCTGTGCTTATCTTTAAAAAACGCTTCTAAACGCAGACACATAAACGCGTTGTGCAAACGCGGCTAAACAGACGTTTTTTTAATCTATGTTTTCCAGCAGTCAGTTTCCATCATTCAGAAGTGTCGCGTGTACATGGGGCCTAAGAATAAATTAGAGCTAAGCCAGTCACCACTCCCTTTCCAGTGAATGCAAATAAGTTATCTGTCATTGGCCAGCAGATATCAGATGGTTAGGGCTTAGTGCCGGGGGGGGCAAGTATATGCCAGGGATTAGAGTGCCAGGGGGGGCAAGTAAAGTATATGCCAGGGATTAGAGTGCCGGGGGGGGCAAGTATATGCCAGGGATTAGAGTGCCGGGGGGGGGGCAAGTATATGCCAGGGATTAGAGTGCCGGGGGGGGCAAGTATATGCCAGGGATTAGAGAAGTCCAAGGTTTAGTAACAGAAGGGAAACCAGGTTAAGAAGGACACACAAGAAAGGCTTTCCTGGTAAACTAGAGTAAAAGGCGTCATGCAGTGTCTGCTTGTAGGCAGTACTTATAAAATGTTAGAATGGCTGACCACTTGGCTTTTAAGAGTGAACACACTGAAACATTGGAAAAGTGTAGAGAGGAGGCACTGGATCCAGATACTGCTTTTCTTTGCAGAAAGGAGTATTTGCTGTGCTGTACAGAACAATGGACTAGCTGTCGGTTCCAAAACATGAAAGTGCCTTAGAAACCCCTTCTTGGAATAAATCCAGAATTGAGAAAAACAAAACGAGCTGCTTAAGCCAGTTTTTAAAAAGAAATTCTACTCCAGTATCTATCTAACTTCTAAGCGAGTCCACTTTCATCCCTATTCACCCTCTAAGCCCTAATGAAAGGAGATTTCTGACTTCATAAAATGCCAAGATAACACGCCAATGCATTTCAGATTAAACACTGCAAAACTCTGAAACTATTGGCTTGGCACTCTGATTTAAGGAAGTGACAGGCACCTTTTAATAGCCATGGAATATGTCTTTTGGTGCATTAGCTACCTTTTTTTTTTTTTTTCCTTTTGTCCCTGATAGAAAAACTAGTAATATAGAAAACTGAAACAAAGGAAGTAGTCAGGCTGTGCTTGCTGCAACTAGGTAGTAAACTAATCATAAACTAGATAGATCTGGGTTAGCAATAAACTTCTCATACAGGTTTTGCTTGGCACCAGATTTAGGTCTATGCTTTATTTGACTAAACTGCTTTACATTGTTTGCATTCTTCCTGCGTGTAAGTGAATAGGCAGGTCAATCAGAACAGCATTTCTTCTGCTTTCAGTTTGAGTGTAGAATATGTCATCAAGATCTTATCTCACACACAAGTCAATGCTGATCATTTTTACTTTTTAGAGTTATGCTGGCCTTCTGTTTTACAGTTTTCCTTTAGATTTACCAAAACCATATAATATGAGGTCAAATCTAAACACTTTTAATTCGTATGCAATCAGACAGGCCCTTGCACTTTGTAGTTGAAGGTAAATCTAAAGGAAATTGAATAAGAAGATTGTATAATGTCAGCTATGGCCAGCTTTAGGGCACTTTTTGCAAGCATAAAGCTGGGTAGGCAGTTATAAGAAATCTGTCCCACGTGTGTAACAAACAGGATTCTGTGGGAGCTCCAAAGAGCTTGTATGTCTGTTCCATATAATTTCATCCCTATTTATTGGCTCCTGTCTAAATTGGCCCTAGTATATGGATGTGAGTTAGGGACCTTAGATTGTACGCTCCTTGAGGGTTAGGAACTGATGTGAATGTACAGTATATACAGTGGGGCAAAAAAGTATTTAGTCAGCCACCAATTGTGAAAGTTCTCCCACTTAAAAAAAGAGGCCTGTAATTGGCATCATAGGTAGACCTCAACTATGAGAGACAAAATGAGAAAAAAAATCCAGACAATCACATTGGCTGATTTGGAAAGAATTTATTTGGAATTTATGGTGGAAAATAAGTATTTGGTCAATATCAAAAGTTCATCTCAATACTTTGTTATATATCCTTTGTTGACCATGACAGAGGTCAAACGTTTCCTGTAAGTCTTCACAAGGTTGGCACACACTGTTGCTGGTATGTTGGCCCATTCCTCCATACAGATCTCTTCTAAAGCAGTGATGTTTTGGGGCTGTCGCTGGGCAACACGGACTTTCAACTCCCTACAAAGGTTTTCTATGTGGTTGAGATCTGGAGACTGGCTAGGCCACTCCAGGACCTTGAAATGCTTCTTACGAAGCCACTCCTTCGTTGCCCGGGCGGTATGTTTGGGATCATTGTCATGTTGGAAGACCCAGCCACGTTTCATCTTCAATGCCCTTGCTGATGGAAGGAGGTTTGCACTCAAAATCTCACGATACATGGCCCCATTCATTCTGTCCTGTACATGGATCAGTCGTCCTGGTCCCTTTGCGGAGAAACAGCCCCAAAGCATGATGTTGCCACCCCCATGCTTCACAGTAGGTATGGTGTTCTTTGGATGCAACTCAGCATTCTCTCTCCTCCAAACACGACGAGTTGTGTTTCTACCAAACAGTTCTATTTTGGTTTCATCTGACCATATGACATTCTCCAAATCCTCTTCTGGATCATCCAAATGCTCTCTAGCAAACTTCAGATGGGCCCGGACATGTACTGGCTTAAGCAGGGGGACACGTCTGGCACTGCAGGATCTGAGTCCCTGGCGGCGTAGTGTGTTACTGATGGTAGCCTTTGTCACGTTTGGTCCCAGCTCTCTGCAGGTCATTCACTAGGTCCCCCCGTGTGGTCCTGGGATTTTTGCTCACCATTCTTGTGATCATTTTGACCCCACGTGGTGAGATCTTGCGTGGAGCCCCAGATCGAGGGAGATTATCAGTGGTCTTGTATGTCTTCCTTTTCTAATTATTGCTCCCACAGTTGATTTGTTCACACCAAGTTGCTTGCCTATTGCAGATTCAGTCTTCCCAGCCTGGTGCAGGTCTACAATTTTGTTTCTGGTGTCCTTCGACAGCTCTTTGGTCTTCACCATAGTGGAGTTTGGAGTGTGACTGTTTGAGGTTGTGGACAGGTGTCTTTTATACTGATAACAAGTTCAAACAGGTGCCATTGATACAGGTAATGAGTGCAGGACAGAGGAGCCTCTTAAAGAAGAAGGCACAGGTCTATGAGAGTCAGAAATCTTGCTTGTTTGTAGGTGACCAAATACATATTTTTCACCATAATTTGCAAATAAATTCTTTCCAAATCAGCCAATGTGATTGTCTGGATTTTTTTTCTCATTTTGTCTCTCATAGTTGAGGTCTACCTATGATGCCAATTGCAGGCCTCTCTCATCTTTTTAAGTGGGAGAACTGCACAATTTGTGGCTGACTAAATACTTTTTTGCCCCACTGTATGTAAAGCACTGCGTAAATTGACGGCGCTATATAAGTACCTGAAATAAATACATTTATATTAGGCTACTTTCACACTACGGAGTTTTTAAATGTTTTTGCATTTAAAAAAAAAAAAAGCACCTGAAAAGCAAGAAAAATGCTTCCCT